AAGAGAGAGGGGTTTCTCTCCCACCTCCTGAAGTAGCGCCTCATTCTTCGTACCTACAGCTGCCCTGGTGGCAATACGTATAGCTNTCATGTGTAGAACGTCGAGTTTCTTCAGTTGAGTATCACTTGCTTTACCATAGGCAATACAACCATAATCAATAACTGAACGAACCAGTGACCTGTACATCATCATTAGAGTTTCTCTGTTTGCTCCCCATGTGGTACCTGAAACATAACGCATAACATTTAAGATTTTTGTAGACCGGTTACAGATATAGTCAATGTGCGTACTCCAAGTAAGACACCTGTCAAAGTGTACTCCCAGGAACCTTACTGAATTCTCATGCTTAATCTTCACACCATTCAGTCTAAGGTCAATACTGTCGTGATCTTTCTTTCTGCTGCAGAACAAACGACGGTTTTAGCTTCCGAAATAATGAAGCCTAGTTCTTGATAATCTACAAGGGTTTTTATAGTCAACTTGGCAGGCTTGTCATCTAATCAAAATGGCCTCAAATTAGGTCAAAATTGATTCTCAAAGAGGTCAAATTGGTCCTTTACAAAAGTCAAATGGTATCAAAATAATATTTGATTTCATTGAACAACTTTGGCAAATTTTGACTTTTAGTACCAATACTTATAGAAATTCTCAGAAGGTAATTCATAGAAAACATTTTATTTCAGAACAATCCTGCTTTAAATCTGCTAAAACCTGATGGAGCTCATAAATGGAGAAGTGCCAGTTCTGGTGAAAAATCAGTTTCAGCTGTCATACAGGTTGGTGGGGGAGCTTAAATAAAACAAAACAAAAATTTTATATAGCTATTTCACAAGTAACTAGGTGGTGTTTGGTCAAAGCTTGTTGGCATGGTTTTGCCATAATTATTTTTACCTGATTTGGGGGACTGCAATATTGATATACTTATTTATTCAAATCTTATGATACTGGTACATTTAGCAAACTGACAATGACAGCTAACATTTTAAGTGAGGATAAAAACTTGATAATGATTTTATGTAGTTTTAAGAAGTTGATAATGATAAATTCATTGATATTTTAGTTTGAGAAGTCATCTCAGATACAATGTATAGATATTGGTAATGAAGGTTCAGGGTTTATAGAAATATTGGTGGGGAAATCTACAGCAGTTTCAGATCAAGATTATCAGGTAAAGGGATTGAAACTTATCCTTATTTTCAAGATACTGGCATGGTTAGAAATGAAGGTAAAGGGA